GATACCAGAGTAGAGAGTTTTCTTGCTATATTCTTAAGTCAGAACAAACGCAAAAAAATACGCGTAAGCTTACAACTAGCGCAAGCAGATCTTATTATTCATTCCTAGCGCGAGATTGAAGTCTTGTTTTCGACCCTGAAAAACCCACCTTTTCCGTTAGCTCAGAGCATAAAACTAGATATAAGCGCCCTGGTTCGTATTCCCTGCCTTATTCCCTGCCATAGCTGTGAAAAATACGCAAGATAATCTCTCAAGGTCTCTCAACTCTCACCATTTGATCACGCAACGTGACAAGATCCCTACGAGAGCCCCGACATGTGCGTGGATCCGCGCGGATGTATGACGTCAGGATGGCGCAATTTGTTCTAAAAATAGAAAAATTGTCCCATATCATAGGTGCGCGCGGATCCCAAGGCTTACGGTCTCCGTCCCCGATTATGGCTCCTGACAAAACCTAAGTTTTGGTGGACGTCAATCATCTCCGCCTCCTTGCCGACTGTACACAAATTTAACCTGAAGGTGAAACCCTGCAGCGGTCCTCTCGTAAAAATTATCATTTTACTTTCGGTATGTACGGCTAGCTCACTAACTACAGCCTTGAAATCTGTAAATGAAAACGTTTGTCGGGTTTTTCAACGGCCATTCGCATGCGTAAATGACCCCGAGAGCGAGCAAATCTACGCGCAAACAAATTATTTCTACACGTATTTTTCTTGGGACTAAGTGCTGAACAATACTTAATTCTATAAAACTTATAACTTATTACCTTACAAAATTATAAGTTTTAGAAGACGTTTAAGTCATGTTCAGTCCGTAGCCTCAAGACAAGTGCGTGCAGAAATAATTTGTTTGCGTGTGGATTTGCTTGCTCTCGGAGTCATTAATGCATGCGAATGGCCGTTGAGAAACCCGACCTGCCCGTCTTCAGTTATAAATTTCAAGGAATATTTACTGCCAAGTATTTAGTGAGTTAGTCGTACATACCGAAAGTTAAATGACAATTTTACGAGTGGAACGCTGTAAGGTTTCACTTTTTCAGGTAAATTTTGCATACAGTCGGCAAGGAGGCGGAGATGATTGACGTCCGCCAAAACTTAGGTTTTGTTTTGTCTAGACTTTTTTCGCGCTGGAGGTCGCGTGTGATTGATAACCGCAGTAAAATTCAACACAAAAATTTCTCTCAAAGCAATACTGTAGAGAAAAAGGAAACACGTAAGTTGCCGGCCTTAGTCGGTCTGTATCGGGAAAAACGGTGCCCTTGGTCTTGAGTTCGGCCCTTATCCTGCGGCCTGACCAAGGCCGACGAATAACAAATAGATCTATGGTCTTTTTTTCAGAGTCATCTGGCGTGAAGCTAAGCGATATCGTTAGAGTTTTTGCAAAACAGCTGGGACTTTTTTTGGATAGTGATCCTGTACGGCTGTCTCCGAGGCTTTGACGGTTTGACTGCGGCGAAATATTTGAGTAGACAAGATTTCTGACTCATTTATTGCAAACCTGGGTACGGTATTGGGTAATATAAATGAAGGTATCTAAGCACCTAGACATTTAATTTTTTCCGCTTCCAGAATTTTCCGTGTTTCATTCGAAGTTTCTCTTTGTGTATGTTGGTGTACGTGTACGCTTCGAAGAGAAATCAAAGTACTTAGTACCTCGTTTAGAAGTTTACGACAACATGTACAAACGTAAATAAACTGCAGATGAACCTCGCGTTCTAAACTTCAAATCAATTTCGGTTCAAGGTATGCTTTTGCATTCCTCTACTATCTACTATCTTGATTCCCCGCCATTTCGAACTATTTTCCGTTTTCCATGAGGTAGCAGGGTTCAACTGTGAACCATTTTAAAGCAGTGACTCTTACTTTCAAGATCGGACAAGTCTGCCGAATCTAGATGCTTTCTTGCTCTCTTTAATTTCTTGAATTTCCAAGAGAAGGCGTTCTTAGAAATCACGCGATTGAGGGCAATGAAGCAAACTACCTTATTGCATAATGAAAGAGAGAAGCAATCAAAGGCAGGGAAGTCTTTCATTTTAACTAACTTAGGTTGACAGTGGGTCATGCTTATAATTAAAAACTATTTTATCAGTAGCTTGCATTTTCATTGTAGAAAAAGAAATTAATAGGAGCTGTTACTGTGAAATTATATAAGATTAGAAATATTTATATTAAAAGAGTATATGCCGTTATGTACTAGTAATTTTTCTGTTTTTATAGGCATCAAATACTAAGCATGGCTCAATAATCTGTAGGTTAGTCTTAGAATCGATTTCAACGGTACGACTTTGTCGCATGCGACAAGCCTACGACAGACCTGCGACATGACTTAGGAACATTTACACGCGCACCACATTTTCACTTACAAAATTAAATATGCAAAAGTTTGCACAGGAATTTTTGGAGCGAAAGTTCTAACAAACGGTAAACAAATATTTTAGCTGTCCTGCGCTTTGAAAAAAACTTTTTAAAGAGATGTTTTTCGCTTTAATCCGTTCATTACTTTTTGAGAAACGGTTTCATTTGAATCAGTCAACAACACTGACTTCGTCCGCCATTTTGACACAAGAAAACTTCACCTTCGTCTGCTACTTAGTAGATAATACGTCATCTTCTTATTTCGGCTACGATTGTCGCGGCGTTTTTTTTTGACATACACAACAGTCGTAAGCGAGTTGTAGGTTTGATTTACACAGAACAATTCATGTCGAAGGCCCGTCGTAACCTTGTCGCATGTGGTGAAGTCGTGCCGTGTAAATCGGCCCATAGCAAGAATAAAGATAACCACCAACTACAGAATTTTGCTGGTGATAAACTTCCAAAGATGGGAATTTCCCATTCCGGCTGATAAATGTGCCTTTCAAGTCAGTTTGACTTTGAGAAGTTACAGTAGAAGTTGTTGGTTCATCAGTACAGTGCAGAGACTGCTCCCCTCACACTCTTCGGTTGTCTGCTGATTTGCCAATATGCAACGATTGACTGATCGGGATATTACTTTACGTGTTCATCTCGTAAAGGGTAAGAAACAGTTGCACATTGGAAGACATGTGGCGAAGCATTTTTGTAGTAGTGATAAACCAGTGTGTTTGCCATTCGCAAACTATCAATTATCTGGCTGACTGTATGGGAATGTAACCCTCTTTTTAACAATAAGACTAGACAAACCTGGGTTTTCTCGATGAGTGAAACGATCAGACTGTTTTCTAATAGAGCATCAGTTGTCTGCTATGCCACACAGAAACAGTCTGTATCCGTCCAAAATCGATAAATTTACCTTTTTGTCAAAATTAGGGAATGTCCTGTGACCTATTTGACTAATAGTAATCGACTGTCGACATGTTGTATTTGATCCATGTTAAAGTGGAAATAATAATGACAGGCCACATTCACGACGCAAACTTTCGATATTTTAAACCGAATACGACTTGTGTCATTATCAATTTTTACTGTTTCCAAGTTGGAAGGTTGTTTTTGGTTAAGTTCCGCTTGGCTTCAGGGTTTATGCAAATTTATTAGTAGACGATTTAGGCCCACGCACCTTCACGCTCGTCGTGTTAAAATTCTTAAAGGAAACTTGTTATTCTAAGTTATTGGGTTCTCCTCTTCTCTAGAAATTACAATTTCATCCTTTCCGTTACTCATCCCTAATCATAACTTTTAAGTTCGCTTCTGCGGAAAATCAGATGACGGTTTGGTTGAGCAGTGCAGTCGTGTTTTAGCGAGATTAGCTGCGATGAAGTGCGCCAAAGAGAAAGGAAAGGGAATTCATAAGTATTCATCGCACCCGATTAAACTGAAAATCCGGTGATTAAAAGTCAATGACTTGATGTTGTAAGACATTCGGAGTAGACAAGATTTCTGACTCGAATCTGGGTGCGGTAAACGTAGGTATTCAAGTACCTATAATTTTTTTCCGCTCTAGTTGCTTCCAGACTTTTCTACGCGTTTCATAGTGCAATGCTTTTTTGAGCGAAAGTATGCCAAGTCCTTCGTTTAGAGAGCCTCGGCTACATGTACACACCTGAATAAACTGCAGATGAACCTCGCTTTCTCAAACTCAATTTACACTCAAATTCAAATCATTTTTGGTTCAAGATCAGTGTTATGCAAATTTGAACGAAGGCGCATCTACTGGCCCGCTGTCGTGCTCAAAGGAAACTTGTAATTCTTATTGATCCCTTCATCTTCTTCATTAATAGTTACATTTAATTCATCCGTTACGATACTTATCCCTAATCGTACCTCTTTGGTTGGCTTCGCTGTGATTCGTATCAGAGCGAGACTACTTGATTAACTGCGCGCGAGGCTGAGGTTTGCCGTGCCGCCGAAGCAAAACGAAAAGGTACAATTAGGTATTCACCGTACCCGACATTAGACCGAACATTTGGTCATACAAAGTCAGAGACTTGATATTGTAAGATATCAGGAGAGCAGACAAGATTTCTGACTCATTTATTGCAAACCTGGGTGCGGTACTGAGTAATATAAAGGTATCTGAGCACCTAGACATTTTTTCCGCTTCCAGAATTTTCCACGAGTTTCATTCGAAGTTTCTCTTTGTGTATGTTGATGTGCGCTTCGAAGAGAAATTAAAGTACTTAGTCCCTCATTTAGAAGTCTACGAAAACATGTACAAACGTGAATAAACTGCAGATGATTCTTGCTTTCTCATCTTCAAATCATGTTCGGTTCAAGGCATGCTTTTGCATTCCTCTATTATCTGCTATCTTGATTCTCCGCCATTTCGAACTATTTTCCGTTTCTCATGAAAGTTGGAGGTAGCAGGGTTCAACTGTGAACCATTTTAAAGCAGTG